AAGAAATATATACACAAAAAATGTGTTTTTCTTTCTTTCATAATTTATCTGATGCGGTTATTGTTATGTCAAAATCGTTTCTTTATTTGTTTGAATCGCTGGGATTTACATACACACGCATTGCTTTCACTGAATTGTAGGAACTGAAAAAGGAATTCCTTTCTACTAAATTCACGGCTATAACAAAGGAGAGAAAGAACAAATTCAATCAAGTGAGATAAATCAGAAGAAGTCAAATGTCTGGACATTTGGAAATATGAATTTAGTGAATTTTCTAAGTTGAGGGAGTGCATAAGGCGCATTTCATGGGGGTAAAGTAGCCAACAGAATATTGTTGGGATGCCATAGCTAAGTTACTGATTCACAAATCTAATTGATCCTAACTTGACAATCCACAATTTTCATTCACAACCTCATCCTTTTAGACAAATTGACCACAAAATACAATCCATTCCACATCAACAAACCCCGCTAAAATTCCTGAAGTAACACAAATTAAAAGAACTTTGCCGACAGCCGCAAAAGACAAGCGAATTGAGAAGAAGAAAAGTGTCATAAATAGCATGCGAGAATTCATCACAGGTGTGACTCTCCATCAGCATTAAATAAAAATTCATCGTTTTTTTGGGCCTTCAGATGAGACTATTGATTGATGTTATGGCAGTAAAGGAGAGAAAAAAATTGAAAAATGGCCATTGATCAATAAATATCATCAGCAAGTCACCTAGTAGCAATGACTCGTGCTGTGAATTTCTCCAATAATGTTATGTTGATGCCGCTGCTTAATCATTAATTCTTGCCTATTAAAATGAAATTTGTGTCTTTTCAATTCTCTCTTTCTTCTTAATCTCATTCAGTACTGAGACGATGATGATTCAGTCACTGAAATATGCCATGATACTTTTACACTTCTCTGGGTTTTTGGTGGATAAAAATATTTAAAAGTTCATTTCATTTCTTCTTTTTTTATATTTGGCGGTATAAATTATGATAAAATTATTCAATCAGGTAATACAGCAGAAAAAAAATATATTAAAATATATACATTTTAGTCCATAGCATCTCAACGACGATGATGATGAAGAGGAGAAGTATCAATAATCGAGTGAGCTATACACACCAACTTAAAGAGTCGAGCCGACAAACATTTATAATAAAAAAACGAATATTTTTAATAAAAACAAAAATTTTCTGAACATTCTGAATGGAATGGAGAGAAGAACATCTTTTTGGACAGAAGTGACAAAGAGATGAAGTAATTAATTAAATGGCTGCACAAAAAAGGCAGTAAGGATACTGAACGGTATGGAATAATGTTTAGTCGGGAGTGCAAAAAAATGGAAAATTAATGGAACCAATAAATTGTTGGCACTTTTGACCTATTAATTGTGTATGTTCCGTTTTCATTGAGAATTTTTTGCGTCTGGTGCTATTTTTGGAAAGTTTCAAGTTTGGGCTGTGTTCAGTCATTCTAACTGAATTCATTACTTTTGGCTGGAAAAACTGAATTCAGTTACTTTGGGTGAATTTAGTAGTCTTTTTGAATTCAGTGGTTTAAGCTGAATTTACCAATTATTTCTGAATGAGCTGATTTTAGCTAAAATTGAATAAATGCATCAGTATAATCCTCAGTATATTAATCACAATTGATTAACAATTGTTAAAATTCAGCCACAATGAGCAAAACCACAATAAAAGCATGACATCCACAATTGTTCTAAAATTCTTCATCATTGAATAATTCCCGAACTTAAAAGCTTCAAATTAATTACAATATATTCATCTCTTAGCTCTTTAATGCTTCCAAATTGATCCATTGACTGTTTGCTCTAACTTTCACCACAGTTTTGTTAAAGAACAAACATAAAAGAACCGAAAAAAGAATCCACAATTAATTCCACAAAGATCAGTACTTAAAGTAATTTTTTTCCAAGAAAAAGTCTTTCACTGTTGCTCCATAAAGTCCTTCTCGCACATAAGCTGGTATTGAAATTTTGTTTCTATAAGGAGAAAGAAAAGCAGAAATAATAAGTCTAGAGTGAGGGAGAAGAATTTCATTTTTTTTTTCAATGAAAGAAGGATAATCCTAGATGCAAATACACAAAAATTCATTACGGGGCAACTTTAATGTACACAATGAATGTGTCGTGGTAGTAGAGAAATGAGAACATGCGAACGAAGGAGAATGCTTGCTAATCCATTGGACGAAATAGAGAAAAAAATTCATGAGAACAAAGAGTCGGTCAAAAAATAAAGAAAGAACCAACTTTTTTTCTATGTGCAGTTCTGTTAATTGAATTTTTTTTCTGTATGTACTATTTTCCCATTTACACGATCAGTCGAGAGAAATGTAATCCATTAAAGAGACAGTGCCGCAATGTGCAGATTTTTGTCACCCGAAATAAGTTTTATTTATTTTTTTTTCTCATGAATAGCTTTTGTGCACGCAATTATTTTCCACTTGAGCGAATAAAAGTCTTGCCTGTCGTAGGTAAAAATTGAAAAATTTATGTACATGTAATGCATGTAAAAGTATAGATCTTTTGTTGTGACACTCTTGGTGAAAGATATTTTAAGCCATATTGCAATTAGTTATGTGGCAGATTAACAAATCGATAAAGAGGAATTGCCATTATGGACACACAATGGGTTTACAAATTTAATGAAAAATTTTACGTCATAATAATGAATTATTGGAGAGAATCGGGTCATGTTGGATGGGTTGATTTGGATATTGTGAAATATTTAGAGTTCATATGGTTGAGAATAGTCTGGGCTAAGTCATGTATGCAGTTTTTATAGTCTATTCTTTAAATTGCTTAAGTTTGTTCAATTCCAGTGCAATTTTAGCTGTATTAATGCTCAACTTTCACATTGAACCTATCAACATCTCAAGCTAAAACCCAACAAGTTCACCATCAATATCTCAAAACTCATCAATTCCTCATTTTTTATACATTCTCAATCAATTCTCGATTTGGATTTGTTTATACAATCAGCTCTACGCTTCAACACCCACGACATCACTTAAAAATTTTTCTTCATCCACTTCGCTGCTCAATTTACAAAAGAAAATTTATTCATGAACCGATAGCAGCGAATGACGATTAAATTCAGACATAAAAAAAGAGTTTCAAGCGTTCAACCACAAATAGACATCGGCAAGATACCAAAAATTGACATTCTTGCTTTTTTGACCACCCAATTCTTGTTGCTACATTCCTTAATGAGTTCGTCATGCTCGTGTTTTCATTTATGATAACGAATAGATGAAGGCACAATATTTTTTTTATGACACATTAAGGGCATTCGCATAAATATCACATTTAATCAAACATTCCATCTTCATGTTGAGCCCTATGATAATGATTATTATTGCTATTGTGACGATGAATATGAAGTGAGTGTTATGTGCTACTCAGCATTCCTTCGTAGAATGTGATTGGGAAGAAAGAGGTAGAGAAAATGCATTTGATATTCAAATGAGGAGTTGTCTGGAATTGGAAGAAAGTTAGGGCTTGTTTGGACATGATTGAGATGCTTTTAGTTTTGAATGTCTAAAATGTTGAAGATTTTCATGTTCATGTCTGCAAATTCCTTTGAAACAATCCAGAAAAAATTCACATAATTCTATTCCTCCAATTCTCATTCTATTCAACTAATTCACAAAACAACTAGTCTTAATAAAGTTGCATAACCAGCAATCAATGGACATTCTGTTACTTGAAAACATAAAAATTGTATTCATACACCGAGAAATAACAAAAAATTTCAATTAAAAGAACTGTATGGCAAGAAAAGGGATTAGCAAAGCATATTGAAATAGTCACAATTTTCAATTCATTAAACTAATAGCCTTTGACTACGTTACTTTTTTTTATCTAACTGTGATATTGTACGTAATAATCAACATTCACAAAGGTCGATCAAGCAGAGAAATGAAATGAAAAAAAAAATATACAAGAGTTAAATTGAATCGCTCATAATGGAACAATAAATTATTAATTGCATTAAATTAGCGTATTTCTCATGTGTATATGTACAGATATATGCATACAGTTGACAATACAATTGTAATCGGGTGTGATATAAAGCACAATTTATTTGACGCATGAACAGCAACATTCTTTTCATTTCATTTTCTCGGCTCATGAAGCATTTTTGTTAAATTTTTAGCGGATCTTTTTTCTGGATAAGAATGTGTCCGGGTTGAATGTTTTCAGTGAATTTGCATCTTGCCATTATGTTTAAGGGTTATTGTTGGGTTTATGCAGTTAATTTTGAGTTTAAAGTGAGAAATTTAAAGAACAAATTTTGAAGTGAGCAAAAAAATTAGAAAAACAAAATGGTGGAAATTTAAATTTCTGAAATGCGTTGAATTTAGTTCAGATTCTAAAATTGTAAATCTGCACTGAAAATAAATAACATTGCAAGCTTTACTTAATCTTATTGTTATTCAATCTTATTGCCTTAATTTCCACTTCTGATTCTGTCTCCATCATCGACATTCTACATTCAATTAATGAACAATTATTCACAAAAGAACGATACAGACTTTGCGACATGTCTGATTATTTAATATCTTAAAAATTTATGAAATTAAGTTTTTTTCTACGATTCACGTTTATTTCTGCATTCACATAGAGAGGGAGAATAAAAAAGCAACAATTCAGGCAATAGAAACGTGTTCAAACAATTAACATTTGTGCATTTCCTTAGTGCACAATCATCATTGAATGCTTGTTAGGTAAAAGCAACAAAAAAAACATATTTTTGTGTTGATTTAATTTGTATTGTTGGGATCATGTACAAAAATATAATTTTACAAAAGTTTTTTGGGTTTTTTGCTTTGTGTCAAAAACTAGAATTTTCTTTTGTGAGGTTGTTGTGCCTTAAACAACACAAAAAAAATTGTTTTGAAAGAATCTATAGTGGCAATTTATACATCAAAATATGACAACAATAACAAAAATCTAACAGAATTTTTATTTTTATTTCAGCAAAAATTATTTTCATTTTGAACTCGTCGACATAAAAACAAATTCATTGTGGCGCTGCATTCGACTGAAGCCCTAATGGCGGGCTTTCTTAAATCAACTGATCTCGGTGGTCATCCACACAGTTATGGTGCACCACATCATCCACATCACAGTCATGGTCCACCATTACCGCCAGGAATGCCAATGTCGATGGCACCATTTGGTTTACCTCATGGTCTCGATGCCGTTGGGTTCCCTCATCAAGGTATGTGGGGTAAATATTGCTTCCAATTTAGTATTTTCTTCATTATTTATTATTACATACATTTTAATATATGCACGCATATGTGCTAATGCTAAACAAATTTTGATTGATTCGATTTCAATAATTTTTTATAAGTTAATCACTTTTTTCACAGCCTTAAATTTTTCACTTTTTACTGTCGCTTCCTCAAACAATTTATTGACACATGATCGCATTAAGTAATTGTATTAACCTAATAAAATTAATTAATCAGCAACACTTTAATTCTCTCACTAGTCAGTCTCTCATAATCATGCATGTATGTCTGTCTTTAAATTGTGTGTGACATTGAGATGAAATCATTTCCCATGCCATTCATTTTCAATTAATTCAAATCAACTGTAAAATGAAATAAAAATTGTATATGCGATGTAAGATTACGCGAAGAAGAGAAAATAAGGTTTTTTTTTCTCTTCATGAGAAGCTACTTAATGGTGAGCGAGTAGCTACTGTTGTTGATTGAATAGAGGTTCCAAATAATTATTGGAATGAGGCAAATATTGTTGTGTGGATAATGAAAAGCTCGTTTTGTGTGTATAATGTGATTTTGTAGGGAAAATGTGTCAGATTTTAAGTAGTGCAACTGTGAAATTGATTGTCGTTGCATACTTTTCTGGATTTTATATTATTTAATTAATATTACAATTCGAGACCAAAATGACATGTTAACAAACATAAAAAGCCTTACTATAGAAATATATCTCAAACTTCTTAATCCCAAATATCTGCTCATGAAGACACTTCAAATTAACTCAGAACCCCTAAATCACCATCCATCAAGCCGCAATTGTCTCCATTTGTCTACTAAGAAGCATGAAAAATTGATCAAGGAATTTAACCAACATCATAAGTACACAACCGAGATATGCATAATATTTATGTCTAAAAAACCAGTAGCACAAATAGATTTCATCAAAGTCAATCACATAAATGAAGTATTCTGTCCGATTTCAATGTTTTCTTCTTCATCTCCATCTCACATATCCAATTTCATTTCCATTTTCAATTCCTTCACACCGTCATCTATACACACATCTCTCTTTTGTGCCGTCGAGCTGTCAGTCTTTTGTTAAACAACAGCACTCCTTTATGCTACGCGAAGAGTGACGCGCAAAAAAAAGAGAGAAGTTTAATATAATTTATGATGGTATCATTGGCTTCATTTTAACTTTTGCCGACAATATAAATTATATGTATATATTAAAGTAATATCACAAATATTATACGCATGCTGAGAGTGAGTAAGAGACCAAACGAAAGAGATGTGTGAGATGAGGATTGAGATATGACATGTAGGGAAATCATGTGATGGACTTTCTTACCTTTTTATTTCTTGCCACTTAATAACAACTCAACTTTATTTTATTCTGCTGCTGTTAATGTTGCTGACTTTTTTTTCGTGAATATAAAAACATGATATGAGTGAGAAAGGCACATACATTTCAAGGCAAACAAATTATTTTTTGTGTATCAATTGCCTTTATTTCTTCTTTTGTGAGTGCCGCAAATGAAACTCACTGTTGGCTGCTGTTTATATCATTCTTCTGGACTTTTAATGATTGATTGATTTGTATTGTTGATGGTGCTACTTGTGATACATTTCTTCTACTATGTTGAGGAAAATTTGTAGATTAGAGTTTAATGAGCAGGTTAATTTTTTGATTTTTTGAAGAAAACTATGATCTTTTCATTAGATTGATAAATTGGCTTAATGTACAGGTTTTATTTGTTGTTCAATACATGCTTGCCACTTTTTTCTACAAGATGATACATAAAAATGTTTCAATATCTTAGATTTAATGGAAAAATTTCAAGAAAAACTTTTTGAGATGGAGAAAAAATTCAAATTTAAAAAAAGCAGTTAAAAATTTTAAAATGTCAAATTTGTCAAAATTTCTTCACTTTAATCAATCAAATCTCAATTATAACTCAATTAGGCCAAGAAAAAAGCAGCAAAGCATAAAATGAAATTGTCACAATCTTAAAAATCCTTTCAATTTTGAAAAAGTCTCCAACAGAGAACAAAGAGCTCATCCAATCATCATCTCAATGACATTTTCATCCGTCCTATGCCATCATTGAAATCTTTTTATTTTTTATACATCTCATCTCATCATTCTTAATGCGCAGCTTCCAACTTACCATCTATACCATTCGCTAAATAATTTCTTCTTCATTTTGTACCGTCTTCTTTTTACTGTACTGTCGAGGCAGAAAAAGAAAGAAAAAGATGAGAGATCACTAACCATAGCATATCTAGAAACAAAAAATTGACATGTGAAATGTGTAAGCTTCATTTATGTGCGGCATAAAAGAAGATTTCTTCTCCAACTCACATTCCATCATTTCGCTTCAATAAATTTTTCTCCCTTTTTTTCACATATTCAACATTTTGACAAAAATTCTTTATGTCATTTTAAAAGCATTCCACGGTGATGTAATTTTGTTGTTGTTTTTCTCTTCTACATCTATACTTCATTCCTTTGATGATTGAAATTCCATGAAAATAAAATCTTCTTTTCTTCATCCATTGTTTGTGATTTTTGCCGAATATTGTCGATCGGTTTCGATTAAATTGTGAATGTATAACAGTCTAATGAGGCAAGATGAATATCAAACATGGACAACTTATTTATTTATTTATATTTCCTTCCCCCTTTTTGCTCCTCATTTTTTTAAGAACTTGATACCTTTTTCTCTCTTTCTCTTTGTGGCTTTTAAAGATACAACAAATTAATCATAATTTCATTTTAAATGTGCCGCGACGGCATTTATTGGGAATGAGATCATGTACACAAACGTATAGTAGAGAGAAGTTGTTGTTGAAGAGATAAGGGGAAGTAATTAAGGCATTGGAATTATGAGCAAGGCGCATTTTAAAGACTTTATAATTTTTAAGATTTAAGCATGTCTTGAACTATATCTTAGTAACTTCATACTTAGGTTTTGGTAATATAATCTTAAAATTGACATTTTTATAGCTTTCAAACTCGGGATCAACCAGAAATTCATTTAAATACAAAAACACCAATCAAGACAATATGGCAACTACATATCTGCTCAGTATTTCACAAATTACAACAAAATAATAAATATATGTATGACGATAATGAGGCTTAATGAATGCGGTTCTGTGCTACCGAACAAAAAAAAACTGTATTGAAGAAGAAAATTCTATTTTGCGGTTAATTTGAATGTTTTTTTTTCTTCTCTCATTTCGCGAGTCGTTCACACGCTCGGTCACTGGATGGAAATACAGTTTTACTCTGTTAATAGCTCATCGAAGAGTGAAAGAAAAATTATTGTAGTAATTTAGCTACTCGAATGCTTGAATATGTCAACGTAATTTTCAATTTAAAGTTTTTTTTGTGTTTTATTGTTTCAATAATTCAAGTTCTCGATATTAGTGGCGGAATGATTTCATGGTTGAATTAAAACTGAAGAAGGAGATGAAATAAGAAAATTGATATTAATGAATATGAGCGCACCACAAGTTCTCGTCTCTTTATTGTTCCTTCTTCTAAGGCGGCATCGGGCCCGGCGCAAAAAAAATATATAAAATAAAAGTTTGAAACTAATTAAGGTGGTATTGTAAAGTGTCAAATAATTTATTGAATATCAATTCATTCAATCGCAATCGCTTCTTATATAACCTTCAAGCATCTCTTTACAATAAAGAAATTCTTTTCATTTTTCTTTTCTAAAGATTTAGAAAATTTTCTTTTTCTGCTCGATTCTTTCACTTCAAAATTTTGATCTCATATTTGTTTTTTTCTTTACTTCACAATTCTTCTTCTTACTCTTTTCGAGACTATCTACTTTTTTCTGTGTTATTTCTCTTTTTCCTTTCACCGCACAAGGCACTTTTGCCGACTCTTTATGATTATTTCTTTCTTATTAATTGATCACATCGAAAAGATTGCTGTTTAGCGGAAAGTTCTATTAGGAAAGAACAATTGAGTGTTTAGATGTCGATTGTGGTTTGGTGGCTTTGTGGCTGGATAGGTATTGTGTTGCGGATGCTCGGGTTGTCTGGGTTATGTAAGTAGGTCGTTAGATTGAAGATTTTCACTCAAAACCTTGACAATTGACATTAAGTACTGTAAACTTGCAGATTTATGGTCTCCAGAATCTTTAGACCCAACCCAAGTGTCTACTACCTGCAGATTATTGCGCCTTAAACTTAACACAATCAAAAAACCCTTTTAACTTTCTCAACTCATGTGTACATCGATTACTACATGTGTGATGATGAATCGCGCAAACATCTAGTAGGGAGATGAGAACAATTGAACACTTAATAGAATCGAAATTTTTGACTATTCTTACCTTTTTGTCTACCTCTTCTTCACCTTTTTAACTGTTCAATAATAATTTATATTGCTCAACAAAATGCAAAAGAATAAAAAAAAATTCAATAGACCTTTTTTGAATCCGAGAAATGATGAAAAAGTAGAAAAGAAAAGAGCTGATGACTTCATTTGTTTTATTTCGAATAGAAAGTATTCTTATCGTATCAATTTTGTGGATTTTTACTTCTTTTGTGTTGTTGTTGTTGAAGCTCTTCTTTATTTGCTTCTTATCATTTATTGAATATTTTGTACTGTTATGTTTGTTAAATCGAGAGAAAATTTTCTTTTTGATGTTACCGTGGACGGCTAATGAGTGTGATTTTTGAATTTTTGGGAATCTACAGTTTAAATGAGTAAAGTAAGTAAATGTAGAGGTTCAAAAATTAAATTATTTCTAAAAAAGGATGCAAAATTTTGAAAAAGATGCAAGAATGTTGAAAAAGATGCAAACATGTTGAGCAAGATGCAAAAATGTAGAAAAGGATGCAAACAAATATTAAAATGATGCAAAGAACGATGATTTGATGCAAAAATAACGAAAAAGATGCCAAACTCATAAACAAAGCAAAATAAGCATTAGAAGTCATATTCGTGGATTTAACTGACTCAATACTTCGT